GTTAAACTAATATTCCTCTTGTAGTAAAAAACTTTTTTCAACAAATTTTTATTTCAGATGTTCACGTATATTCATATTGCTGTCTCAAATGTCATTTGAAAGACTCGCTCTGTTGTCCGTTGTTTGACTCACATTCCTCAACACCTGACAAGAACATAAATCGAATTTTCCTACTCCACCCGACCATCTTTGAATGTCTTCAATGGAATCTCTGGAGCCGGGAAAAACTGTTGCTCTAGTTGGCCCTAGTTGAAATGGAAAATCTAGGCTTCTGAATCTGATTCAACAGTACTACCAATCGTCTTCGGGAAGAATCTTGCTTGATAATTGAGCGGGTGACAAACGTTCATGAGTTTGTATCTAGGATGGGAGATGGATGGGTATTTTTAATTGGTCACAAGACAGTCGAATTTAATTGGATAAGGATTTTTTGTGTTTGCATTGTTTTTTGAATGAAATTGTTGTTGAGATTTTAGACAGATATCCAGTTTTCTGCATTTTTAGATAGTTTAGATAGTCTAGAAGTTTAGACATAAGACAGAAATCCGCACAAACATATGTCAAACTCTACTAGATTCTATTCAATTCTGGTCGACCACTCTTGCCGATGCAGTTTAAACAGACTTCAGAACTTTAGAATTACAGAACTTCAGAACCTCAGAATCTTCAAATTCTCAAATTCCGCTTAACTTTTTTTGCTTAGCGTTCTCTCTTCTGTGCCACGTCAACCATTCCCAGTGTGCACAACAATCGCTAATCCCTGAAATTTTATGGCCTAAATTCTTTAAACTTGTATGATAATTTCAGAAAAAAAATTGCCATGTATTAGGTTGAACAGAAAGTTTCTTCCTTTTTTGGCAATTTTTTTGGTCAAATTTTTCTCAAAGGGGAGAGGGCTAGATGAATGAAAGTTACGTCCATAAGCAGTGATAGTTGTCTGCCAACACTCCGGTAATTTCTTAATTCCATTGGACCAGAACGAGGAGAGCGGCGATTGAAAAAGTGGGTCAACTTCTTTTTGGTGTCACTATTACTTTGATTCACGGCTTTTGAAGGTACGGTATCCACAAGTTACCTCAATGTTGGCAACATGTTGTGGATCACGACGGAATATACTGTCAGTCTTGGATTAATCTTGTTTTTGTTTTATTTACTAATTAAACAATGGACAGTTACTTTCCTTCCAACCTAATATTTGATCTTCAAATACTTATTTTTCTATTAAAAACCGATTTTGAGAACTTCGATTTCATCTTGTCAAAAATGCAAATAGCTTTAGTATCAGTAAACCTACAGTAACGTTTTCAACCTTTTTTGACAACCTACCGTAAACGCTCTAATGGTAGCCCTCCCATACAGGCATTTTGAGCTCAATTATCTCGGTTACTAGAGAACACGATATTGGACCTACTTGAAACTTGTTTTAAAACAAGATTGCTCATGGCAGGGTTAGCATGTTTTGATCGAAAAAGAGTAACATTTTCAAATAGTTTATTATTCAAAAAAGGTTTGCTCGAATGAGATAATGACAAATGACATGAGAAAAAGCAACAATCATGAAAAATCTTTTGATTTTCGGTCTGCATTTGTTGGCGTTGGCGGTTGCGGTTGAAATAGTTCAAAACTGTATTAAACTCCAAGCCCAAGTGCTCCGAAATAATTTGTATCGTTTCACGTGGCGGCTTCTCAGTGACTTCAAAAATCGCGTTCAGGGTTTTCTTTTGAACCTCAGTGAACTTCGTCGTGCGTTGTTTCTGCTTTGAGAGACGCATACTGAAAAAATAAGAAATTTAAAAAAGGAAAATCATAAAAAATATAAAACTGACCTCTGTCTAGCTTTTTTCTACTTCTCCTTTTACAAATTAAAATATAATTTGTAAAAAGTCATAATCAGAAAATAAATATGAACTATCTTGTTTTCAGTCAAAATTCGTTTTCTGGTAGGTGAGATATTCGACCTTCGAGTTCAAGAATCTGCATACAGTTTTTTACTGCTTGCTCACAAAATAACAATTAGAAACCAATTCGTTTCCAAATTCCGAAAAAAAGTTTCCTTTTGCCTTTGATTTCCTAGTTAGGAATTTTACGTCCTGACAATTCTGATCGAAAACTTAGCTGGAGTGTTCCAAATAAAGCAAAACTGGCGTTTCACTTTCGATCGTTACCAAATACTGACCATTTCTGTGAGAAGGCGTCATTTGTGGGCTTTCTAAGAAGAAATTAGTTATTTTCCGTATAATCTACGCATGTTAGAAATAAAAAACCTAGGACAGTGTTGTATGGTATCTAGTCCTAGATTGACGAGCGCTTCAAGCTCATGGTTTCGTTGGTCTTCTGGCTGAGAAGAAGGAACTTACACATGTTCAACTGTTTTCTGTGTTCCATTAGCGCGTTAATGTTTATGTTAATCTGCTCACCTCCCCCGACGTCTCTTTTTTTTTTGAGCGGCACTCGAAAGGTATCCGCCGAGCAGGCGTTTTTTTGGTTTTCGGGTGAGGAGCATAATATAAATATTTTTGCGGTTATTATAATTTTCTGAAGGGCGAGTTTATTATCGCCTTAATTTTTGGGATCAAGTCTCCCAATTTTCTTGTTTGAAAAATCTTGTTTGAGTAAATATGGTTTATTGGAAAGAATCCAAAGTAAATATGGTTTATTGGTAAAATAAGTTGAAGGTTAAATTGAGATTGAATAAATATATTTCAGTGGGTGATACGGAAGTCATCGGGAACAGAAACTCAAGTTTTCAGATCATGGAACGCAAAAACAGGAACGGATGGTGAATATCTGAGGTATAAGTGATGTTCCGGTATTATGTGATAACTTGAGATTGTGAGATGTTTTTTTTTGGGAGATGGAGAGTCAATGCATATAAATGCTAGAAGAGAAGGCTGCTCACAAAGTTTTCGGCGGATCATACAGCTTTTCATAGTAATATGGGTCGGAAGCTGGAAACTGGCGTACTACATTATGCTCGAAACGGAAAAGTAATCAGGAAGCGGCAAAAGAGATAGGCAGAACAGAAGTGAAACAACTAGTTGGAATGATGTCTAGAATTGGAAAATTTAGGTGATATCATTGGGTGCATGGAACAGGTAGATAGTATCAGAGGTATTATTGTCAACGGGTGGATGTGCTCGTGGTGGTGCTAGGTGAGATGTGAAAAGGTGGGAGATAGAAAACAAAAAAAACAACAGGAGAGAAAACGCTAGACAGAAAATAAATTCGAGTGAATTTGAAAATGAACGGAATGGGATGGTTTCAAGGAGAAGGACACAAAAGATTCTACAAAAAATGTTTCTACACAAAGAAATTATGTCGATAATCAAACACAAAAAAGCATGCAAAGGTAATCGGAGATACTTAAAGAAATTCAATTTTGAGATTTGGACAAAATAATTAGGTTTGTGGAAAAGAGAAAGTTGCGCTTAAGGAAGCTCATCAGTCATTGAAATTCCGGCGAAATAGAATAGACATTTTAATAAATTTCAGGGCTCAAAAAAATCCAACCTTTAAAAAAGCAATTGTTGGCGATTTCAGAACTTCAAAATCGGATAAAATCCGAAATTGAAAGTTTCGAGTTTCGAATTCGCTGAATTAAACTGAATTCAAATTTAGGAGGATACATCTTCTGAAGCCCAAAATTATTAATTCTCTGCAGAAAATTTCAGACTGTAAAATTTCTCAAATCTGATTTCGGGAGTTGGACATTAGAGATGAAAAATGAGAGTTCAGAGAGTTAACAACAGGAAAACTAGATTTTCAGAGAAACTTTGGGAGTGATTTTGAAAAAAAAAACGGAATGCAACGGTTGCAAGATGAAGGACACAATAGATTCCACAAAAAGAAATCATGTCGATAAAAAAAAAAAAAACATGCAAAGTCAATTGAAGATACTTAAAGAAATTCAATTTTCAGATTTGAAAGAAAATACAGATGGTTAGGCTTCAGGGAGCTTATCAGTCATGAGAATTGAATAAGCAGAGACAATTTGATGAAATTTCAAGCTCACTAAAGTCCAAACTTTTGAAAAACAAAAATTTGAAATTGAAAGTTTCAAGTTTCAAAGTTGCTATATTCAACTGATTTCGAAACAAGAAGAGTACACTTTTTGAAACCTAAAATTAGAAAAATGTCAAACTTTGCTTGATGAAAAAATTCAGACTGCAAAATTTGAGCCGATTTTTTAAAGCCCACTTCCGGATTTGAAGTTAAAATATAGGGTAAAAAGTTTCGAGCAAATTCAAAGAACAGCAATGAACGGGTGATGGGTGGATGTGCTCGTGGGGGTACTGGGTGAGATGTAAGGTGAAAAAAACAAACAAAAAAACAGTAGAGGAAACGGTAGACAGAGAAGATTTTCGAGTGAATTTTAACAACTGGAATGGATGTTTTTAAGGAGGAGAACACAAGAGATTCTACAGAAAATGATTCTACAAAAAGAAATTATGTCGATAAAACAAAAAAAAACATGCAAAGTTAATTGGAGATACTCAAAAAAATTGAATTTTTAGAATTGTGAGAAGAAAGAGTCAGTTAGGCTGGAGGGAGCTCATCAGTTCTGAAAATTTAGGCAAAATAGCATAGACATTTCAATATTTTTCAAGCTCATTAAACTTCCAACCGTTCAAAAATCAGTTGTTGGCAATTCAGAACTTTAAAATCGAAAAAAAACCAAATTTCAAACTTTTCAAAAAATTCCGATTTGGAAAATTCGAGTTTCGAATTCGCTTAATCAAACTGATTCTGAAATTGGTAGGATACATTTTGAGAAGCCTCAAATTATCAAATTGTCATTATCTGCCACTGATCAGACTGCAAAAATTCCCAGCGTCGTTCTCAGGACTTGAAATTTGAATGATGGATTAAGGGTAAAATTAATAAAAAACAGGTAAACTAGATTTCAAACAGTGCCGGAGTATCAATGCATAATAAAAAAATTAGAGATTAGATTTTTGTTCAAATTCCATGAAGAAGATGTTAAGTGTAGAGCAAAAAGGCTAGTCTTCCTCAAACTTCGCCATCTTTGCAGCACTTTCAGATGAGCATGGCTCATCATGGGATCTTTTCCAGTTCTTTCCTTGTTGGTTCTGAAACAGTGTATATCTATAACAAATTAAAAAAATTAACCCACCAAGAAATGTTCGAGCTCATCGAGCACCTTGCTCTTTTCGGAAGTTGAGAATACATTGCTGTTGCCACGTCGAGTGTTCAACTCATTCCAGAAGTTTTGCCCGATTTCTCTGAATTCTTTCTCGTAGTTTCTGACACCGGCCGCATGTTGGCTCTTCACGTCATCCAAGTAACAGTGCTTCAGGAAAGCAAACTGGATGTCCCAGAAATTGCGGAATCTGATGTTCTTTTTGGAGGTTTTCTCCTCGATTCTCACAATTCTGAAATAATATTGTTCAAGAATTAAATTTAATCAGAACGAAATAACTATTTTCCGTATTAGGACCGTTTAGGAATTACAATCCCTTTGAGACCTCGCTTTTTTAAAGCACATAATTCAGAGCGCACAAATATTTTGAGGTCATTGGTGGTACGAAGCAATTTTGAGGCACGAAATCCTCGATTCGGGGGATACGAAATACCTGAAAAAGGCAAATTTTGTACTTTCGAATTGTGGGCTTTGTACCCTTAAACCGCTTTGTACCTCGTTGTACCCCCGAATTGTTGTACCCTCCGAATTATGTTCCCGTTTTTAAATGTGATTTTTTAAAGATACGATCCATTTTACATTTTTTTGCTGAAAACCTAAGATACCCTGAAACAACGCACTAAACAATACTTGAATACTATCAAAATACTTTTCGAAACTGTCCAAAAATTTTTGATTATTCGAATACCGTAAACCCTGTATTAGATCTCCACACTGTCAAGTTTGAGCTTGATTATCTTGGTTCCCATGAATCAAAAAACTGTCAACTGTTAAAACGCTGGTGACATTATGATAAATAACTTATCAATTGAAACTTTCCCGATATCTACTGGAGGAACCGAGATAATTTAACTCAAAAAGTGTGTATAGAGTGGGCTTCTATTGACAGTATTATTATTAACTCACTCATAATGAAGCGGAAGATTCTGTGCACTGAGGAAGTTTCCTCCGAAAACGAGACTTTCTTTCTCGGTGTACACCATGTGAAGAGTTCCACTTGGAAGGAAGACGAGGTCCCCACCAGTCAGGTCGACTCTCTCGAAAGTCTTCAAGAACTCTGGATCCGACTGCCAAACTCTTTGGTTCAGAGTCTCAAGGCGCTTGTAGACTTCGAGGTTCTCATCGTTGTATGGTGCAACCCAGAAGGTTTTGGAACCCTAAAAATGGGAAATTCGCATATTTTGGTCTCTGGAAGGCATACCTGAAGGAGATAGTAGTACACAAAAGTGCCTCCAAAGTCGATGTGAAGATCAGTGAAAGCTTTGCGCATTGAAAGAATGAAGAACTTCTCATAGGTTGGAATCATCTCCAAGAGCTTTGTGAAATAATCTTTTTCAGCTCTGATTGCCTGCATGGTCATCCCTTTTTTCGATGGTTTCTGTTTTTCAATCTCTTTGAGACAAGAGTCAATTCTACGTTTCAACTCCAGAGTCATGCTCAATCCTTTGACAAACAGTGGAATAGACACTACAGCGCTCAGTCTACAAATAGAATATGTTTTGATTTTGGACTATAGTAATCTAGATACTTTTCGTTCTTGGAAGTCTCAAACTGAAGACAATTGTATCCCTCCGAACCGTCTGCTTTAATAGCTTTGATCAATTTGTGAAGGGTGATAGTGTCTCTAGTGTCAGTGGCAAGGTTCGGAACACTGAATGTTGGCGTTGGAACTGGAAATTGATTTTTTTCAAACCAGTCTAGCGACATTCCACTCACCTTCATGATCCTTGAGAATCTGTTCGATTGTATCAATAGTCATTCCTTTTGGGAGCTCGATTCCAAACTCTTCAATGTTCGCGTTTTTACAAATAACCACTTTTCCACTTCTCAGCTCCTCCCAGAAACTTTTGGTTCCATCGTCAATGAAGTAAGCGATTTCGGGCTTTCTGAAAAGTTATTTAGAAATTTTTTTCAATTAATGGATTTTCTCACTTGTCAGTGGGCTCTGCAAAATGTTTGAATCCTGGGAACGGCAAATGATGCTTGTTGACAATTTTCGGGTATCTGGAAATATCGAAATTTCATTCTACCTTCAAAAAAAGGTTTCTTACACTTTCGGAACCGGTCTGGCTGGTGCTGCTGGCTCCTCGTTTGGTGGCTCAGGGTTCTCGACAGGTGCTTCAATTTCAGCCTCAGCTGCGTCTTCAGCTTCAACTACGTTTTCAGCTTCAGCTGCGTTTTCGGCTTCAGCTGCATTTTCCAAAGCTTCAACTGGAACATTTACCGGACTGGCCTCCATGGAAGAACCTCCTTCCGGCGATGACAAGTCTGATCTAACTGCCGAATTGGCCCTATTACCTCGAACGTCCGCTTGCGATGTTGCCGCTATTTCCGGTTCTTTCGGTATGGCCGGATTTTGCACGCTCATGATAATTGAATTCCTAGCAGATGTGGTGACCTGGAAAAGAATTCAAATTTTTTGAGTTCCCAGTCTGTTGAGATATGAAAACTATAGCGAACAATAAGAGAAAAGGTGTCATGATCCCAGACGAAAAAAAGAAATGAAACCAAAATAAGGCTTATTACACTGACAACTTCTTCTGAGACAATGCTGTAATGCTCTGAACACAGATATAACTAGAGGAGGAGCATGATCAGACTTCGGAAAATTCTCGGAGCACCTTTAAGGTGGCTATGAAACAATTGAGCAGACCCAAAAACCCATTTGAGAAGCTAGTACTTACACTCACTACACAGTCACGAGCTTCCATCAACAACATGCAAAGCCTTGTACTCACAGCATAGAGTCTAAAGAACTAAAGTGCGCCGCACTAGTCGATCAACAGAGGAAACGGTTGCTATGATACAGACAAAGGCTTTTCTAGAGCCCTCATTGTGTGCATCCACTCTTTCAGCCGATGCTACTGGCGAGAATGCAGAGAAACGAGAGTGCAAGAAACGAAAAAAAAAATAGATTTTCAGCCAACTAGAGCTGCTGTGACACTTGCGCATAGTTCACACGATAGTGCAACAGGGACACAGAGAAACGAGAGTGAGCGGCGAGCCCTTTGGCTGAAAAAGTTGAGAAGCGTCGAGAAACAATGATGAGCTCACAGAAGCTGTCGTGCCAGAATGAGAGATTAAGGTGTGAAATCGAAGTTTTGAAAATATTCTTTGTGCACTCACAGTAGAGAATCGAAAGAAGCGAGAGTGAGCCGCACTAGTTGATCTGCCGATGAAACGGTTGCTATGATACAGCCAAAGCCCTTTCTAGACCCCTGCTCGTTTGAGTATGTGCTGGCGAGAGGGCATAGAAACTAGAGTGCGACAAGAGAGCGTGCGGATTTTCAGACAACTAGAGCTGTTGTGACGTTGTGGAAGCTTCTAGAATGCTTCCAGAAACAACTACTAGTGAGCGAAGCTGCCAAAAAGTGCAAGTAGGTTGTCTGTTGAAGAATAGGAATATTAGTTATGACTGTAATAGTTACAACACTGCTCAATCTGTAAAATCTAGTCGGGATCATTTAAGACTATTATGAAAAGTAAATGTCCTAAAACCTATCAGATGCACTTGTGCAAAGCCCTTAACCGCTATTCACCTTGCGATACCCTCAAATAGTTTTACCCCTTGATTTTCGTGCCCATAACAGCGAACATCCGACAAATATAATTCAGGCTAATCTCATGCCACAAGGCAATATAGTTGAGCAAATTAACGAAACGTCCATTACTCCGAAGTAACTCAAAACAGAAGCTCTGTCACTTACTACTGCCCGTGAGAGCTTCTATGCTGATATGAACAGTAGCTGGAAGCTGTGGGCGGAGTTGAGCTTTTCTTGTTAATAGAACACAGAGATACTGAAACTCACTGTTACTCTTGAAACTCATGAACAACACAAGGGCAGGAGCTGCTACTGGTGAGAGCAACACTTGCATATAGTTCACACGATAGTACGTGCGCGCATAGAAGGACACAGAGAAACGAGAGTGAGCTGCGAACCATTTGACTGAAAAAGTAGAGGAGCGAGGAGTCGTGAAGCAATAAACACACAGGAGCTTATAGGAGTCGTCGTGCCAGGGTATGAGATTAATGTGAAGAATCGGAGTTGTCGAGATAGTCTATGTGCACTCACAGTAGAGAGTCGAAAGAAGCTAGAGTGCGACGCACTAGTCGATCAAAAGATGAAACGTTTGATATAATACAGACAACTCATTTAGCCGACGGTGCTGGCGAGAGGGCAAAGAAACTAGAGTGCGAAGAGAGAGCTTTTCAGACAACTAAAGCTGCTATGACGTTGTGGAAGCTTCCCGGATGCTTCCAAAAAACTATGAATGTTACAGTCAAAATCCGGGAAAATGCTTTGTTATCAGAAAAAGTGAAATTGCATTCTAATCGAGTATTACTAATAGGGATAACAGTTCCAACTGTTATAGTCACCGCTCTATTTGTATGACGTCATAAAAATCATTTGAGCCTTCCCCGGAAAATCCTTTTTGGGCTGCGAGTTATGGGACAGTATCCTACACCCGAATGATGGATTTCGCACCACAAGACTGCCCCGTTGTACCCCTCAAACTGTTACACCCTCCAATTTATGTGCCCGTTCGGCCTGATGTCTTAAAAATATTATTTAGGCTCATGTAACGATAAAAAGCTAGATGATTGAGCCAATTCATGAAAGGTCTACTACTCTAGACTAGCTGGAAAACAGAAGGGCTCACTACTACCCGTGCGAGCTTCTATGCTGATATGAACAGTAGCTGGAAGCTATGGGGCGGAGTTGAGCTTTTCTTGTTAATAGAACACAGAGATAGTGAAACTCACTGTTGCTCTTGAAACTCATGAACAACACAAGGGCAGGAGCTGCTACTGGTGAGAACAACACTTGCATATAGTTCACACGACGGTACGTGCGCACTCAGACAGGGACGCAGAGAAACGAGAGTGAGCGGTGAGTGGTTTGGCTGAAAAAGTTGGGAAGCGAGGAGTCGTGAAACAATAAACAGCTCACAGGAGCTGTCGTGTCAGAGTGAGAGATTAAGGACTAGAATAGAATAAAGAGATGCTGAAACTCATACAAGTCATAAACAACACAAGGCAGGAGCTGCGGCTGTTGTGAGCAACACTTGCATATAGTCCACACGATATTATGTGAGCACTCATAAGAGGACACAGAGAAGTGAGGGTGAGCGGCGAGCCGTTTGGCTGAAAAAGTTGGGAAGCACGGAGTCATGAAACAAAAAAAATCGCGCACTCACAGTAGAGAACCTAAAGAAGTCTGAGTGCGCCGCACTAGCCGATCGTCCGATGAAACGGTTGCTATGATACAGACAAAGGCCTTTCTGGAACCCTGCTCGCGTGTATCCATCCATTCAGCCGGCGCTGGCGATAGTGTAAAGAAACGAGCGTGCGAGAAACAAGCAAACAGATTTTCAGACAAGTTGAGCAGGTGTGAACTTGTGAATATTTCCCGAAGACGTCCAGAGAGCTATGAATGTTACAGGTTCTTGTTACAAAAAAATCAGATAGTCTCCTAATCGGGTGTTTAGACTAGATACAGTAGTTCTAACTGTGATAGTCACAACACTACCGCTCTATTCGTGAAATATCATTGGAACCATTTGAGAATATTCTGAAAAATACTCAATTGGCTGTGAGTCACGGGATAGTAGCGTAAAAAAAAAAACAAGAGTCTTGACAAAAAAACAATTTTTAACATACTTGTAACGGGCCGGGCCGGGCCGGGCTTTTTCCGGAATTTCGGAGGCCCGGCCCGGCGGGCCTGTCATTTCACGAGTTTCGAAATTTTCAAAAAACACATAAGGGGGGACCCTTATGTGATGTTTTTCGACCAAAAAATTTTTTTCGAGTTTTTTCGATCTTTTTTGATCAGACATATATTGAGAGCTCAAAATTTGGCTCAAAAATACAGAATTTTTGACACAGAGCCTTCCGGGCCGGGCCCGGGCCTTGAAAATTTCCTCAGGCCCGGCCCGCATTTAGTTCACAGCACACGGATAGGAGGACACAAAGAAACGAGAATGTGCGGCGTGCCGTTGGGCTGAAAAAATTGGGGAGTGAAACAATAAACACATAGAAGCTTTCAGGAGCCGTCGTGCTAGAAAGTGAGTGTTTCAGGTGTAGAATTGAAATCGGCGGCAAGAGAAAACAGAGACACTCGACATCCCTTTGCTGAATTAATCGAAAAGGCGATTGACAATTGATTTGAAGGCAAGATTGTTCAGCAACTGCTGGTAAAAAGCTTTGAAAGTGGAAGAGGTTACCAACATTTGACATTTCAAGTGTGGACAGTAATCCTAAAAAAATTCTAATGAAGATCGTTCTCAAAATTTGGCGGCTTCTTTCACAAGTTTTCTTTTCCATAGGCATGGGTCAAGTGAAAACCAAAAAAAATTGTATATTCAAAAATTGAGTTTAGCAGTATTGACGCGAAAAAGAATACGTTGTTGTAGAATATCCCATCTATTTAAAACCAAAAAATATACTACAAAAAAGTCACATGCTTTTCAGCTATGGTGGGATTGCTCATAACAGGTGATAAAAAAAGAAATAGGAAAATATTATTTTATGTTGCTCACAATTGCAGGTCATCCGCAGGTTACGGTAGTTAGGAAATCAGAAACCTACAATTGCTACTTTGAAGCAGAAATTCTAATGAGAGGTGATAAATAGACAAATCGGAAATTGGTATTCTCTGTTTTTCACAATTGTTGGTTACACGTGGGTTACGGTAGTAATAAAAGCAGAAAACTCCGATTGATACTTTGAACGAGGAATTCTAATGACAGGTGATAAATAGGAAAGCAAAAATAATGGGTTTTCAGTGGTAGCTGTGATATTTTTAAATCGTAAAATGTTATGTGGGTTACGGTAGTTAAGAAATTTAATTTAATTTATTTAATTTATTTATTTCAACAAAGGAGAGAAAACCACTAATCAGAAACATACGATTTTATTTATGAATAAACGTCATATTTTAGAGAAAAAATGTCATAGTCTCCTTAACTTTCTAAGGGAGTTGCACCTTAAACGTTGACTTTGAGCCATCTCTTTTCTGTTTTTGTGACAGATATTGAAAATGATTAACTAACAAAAGGTTCATGATACCGAGAATATTTTGTCAGTCAACTTTTTTTTTATATCTTTCAAGAGCCGAGCGATTCGCTGAAAACTAATAGTCATGGTGCAACTCTAGAGATGTTACGGTGTTCCGTTTGTAGTATTTTACATCGAGAAATTGATGAAAGTTCTTAATTTTTGTGATTACGGTAATCACTGGAAAAGTCTGCGTTTCTATTTGTTTACTAAAAAACTTGAGTTTGTGAGAAGTAGCTGCAGTATTCATTCACAGTTCCTAACGCATTATTTTTAAAAATAAACACAACTGTAAATAATTTGAAAATATCGTTTTAGCCCTTTACATGCAACTAGGCATCACAAATTACACCAAACGGCGCATCTATAGAAATTCAACTACTCCAATCTAGCCTGAAAACTGTAGGGGTGCTACTCACCACTGCCAGTAAGAGCTTCTATGATGATATGAGCATTGGCCGGAAGCTCTTTCGCGGAATTGAGATTTTCTTGTTAATAGAACAGAGCTCATAATACTGTAACTCATAAACAACACAAGGGCGGGAGCTACGGCTGTTGTGAGCAACCCTTGCATATAGTTTACACGATATTATGTGAGCACTCATAAGAGGACACAGAGAAACGAGAATGAGCTGGGTGCCGTTTGGCTGAAAAAAGTGAGAAGCGAAGAGTCGGGAAACAACAAAAAAAATTTTTCGTTTAAGCTTTTTCTATGCTAATAGGAATCACACACTCGACAATAGCGTACTTCTACAGAGATGAAACTGTTTCAAACTAGCGAAACAACTAGTAAGTAATCTGTAACTACTGTTCATGCAAACCTGTAAGCTCGTGAGCATTTGCCGGAAGCTGTTGGGCTGAGTTGAGTGTTCTTTGATAATAGGGCACAGAGATACTGAAACGCATAAAACACATAATCAACACACGGGCGCTATATGCAGCTGTTGTGAGCAACACTTGCATATAGTCTACACGATAGTATGTGCGCACGCAAAGGAGGACACAGAGAAACGAGAATGAGCTGGGTGCCGTTTGGCTGGAAAAATTGGGAAGCGAAGAGTTGTGAAACAATAAGCACATAGATGTCTCTCTTTCGCTGAATCAATGTGAAAGGCGTTTAATGATTAAATACTTGCTGTGAATACAGTAAAGACGTAGTTCTAAATTTTTCGGATGCAATTAATCATCGAAAAGATTTATTTTGGCAACAGCTTTAAAATTTTTCAAAGACATATTACCAACAGCTGGAGTGTCAAGTGGACCGTAACTCAAAACTAAATATAATGAAGATCGTTCTCAAGAATTGGCGGCTTTTTTCACAAGTGTTACGACAGGCATGGGTCAAGTGGAAGCTAGCCAAAAAATTGTTGTATATTCCAAAGGAAGAGTTTTTAGAATATTGACGCGGAAAATTCGATTTTGTAAAATATTCCATTCATTGAAAGCTAAAAAACACCCAAAAAAAAGTCGCATGCTTCTCAGATATGGACCGATTGCACATGACAGGTGATAAACATAGAAATCGGAAATTAGTAGTTTCTGTTGTTCACAATTGCAAGTTGCATGTTGGTTACGGTAGTTAGGAAATTAGAAAACTCCAATTGCTATTTTGAGGTAGAAAAGAAATTCTAATGACAGGTGATAAACAACAAATCGAAAAATGTGATGTTAGTTGTAGTTGTGATATTTCCTTAATGATAGATCTTATTTCGGTTACGGTTAGTTTAGATAATCAGAAACATACAATTTATGATTTTTGAGAAAATTTCATAATCTTGAGAGAAAATATCATATTTTCGAGAGAAAATATCATAGTACCGATAACTCTCACACAGAGTTGCACCCTGAACGTTACCTTTAAGGCAGTTTTTCTCGGTTCTTGTGAAAGATATCAAAAAATTGTTCATTAAAAACATTAATCATAATATCACGATATTTTGTCAACTCTACGTTTTTTGATATCTTTCACGAACCAAGAACACTTTGCTAATAGTTGATTGTCATGGTCCAACTCAATTAGAGAGATTACGGTATTTGGTTTGCACTATTCCATTTTGAAAATGTAATGGTTTTTTGTTTCCAAAACTACAGTAATCACCTAACTTTCTGCTTTCTTATGAATTCAATGAGAAAATAAAGTTCATAACAAAAATAGCTACAGTATATTTTCTAATAAATATAAATAAATTCCCACAAAAAAAAAGGATTATGTCGCACTCTAGCCATAAACAAGCCTAGAAAAGTGAAGTCTGATGTTTTATTTATGATAGAGTAGTAAGCATAAAATAAAACTGAAATGCATAAAAAGATGAGAAAAGAGCAAAGGATAGATGGCTAAAAATAGAAATGTGAGCCAAGTGTGACAAGAAGCTTTTGTTTGGGGATGTAAATGAGAAAATCTTTAGAGGTTGTCTTATGAAAAGGAGAATTTCAAGATTAGAAGTCCATTACGAAAATTAGAACTACAAGATAATCTAGACTTAGGATGGAGAAGGGCAGACATTCGAACAATTTAGGAAATGAGAAAAAGGATTATGCATTATAAGAAATGTCAATTTCCTGCTGCGTAGGCAGGATATTCCCTTATTTATAAATCCAGGGGTACAGTATGCCGAGAACCAAAAGAGGAATTCACTCTATCCGAAATGTTTAGAAAGTAGTGGGAAACAGAAAGCTCCGTTGTTTACGGAAACAAAAGACTAGAGGTGATTTTGTTTAGAAAATGAAAGGGAAAACGAATCATGTCACGTATCCTGGTAACAGAAGACTCTTTAT